AATCAACTTAGCTGAGCGTTGACTCATCAAGAGTTCTTCTAGCCTCTGATCATAGAATCAGAAAGAGACAAGTAAATTTTCTAGGACACAATGAGGAAAGAGGGCATGGAGAATTTGGCACTCACAAGACATACTGAAGGCAAAAGGAAAATCCAGAGGAATCTACCTGACAAGATTGTGGAAATGGAGAGTAGAACAGGCATAACGGGTGGGGGGGGTAAAAAGCTAAAAGCATACAAAAAGGAGAGGATGTAGTAGAGAGCCATGATAGCCGACGTCTAGAAGAAGAAAATGAAGATATAAATTATAGCAACTGAAGCACACACAGACACGCACACACACACAGATAGATAGGAGACAGACTAAATATATATATATATATATATATATATATATATATATATATATATTAGTTGTTCCTACACGTGCACAAAGACGTATATACAGAAATATAGCGATTTATGAAGTGGATAAAGAAGAAATAAAAGGAAACGGAAAAAATAGAGAATGAAAAAACACAAAGAACAAAAAAAAAACTCCGGAATATCTAGCCAGCTGTATAGATAGATAGATAGATAGATAGATAGATATATAGATAGATAGATAGATAGATAGATAGATAGATAGATAGATAGATAGATAGATAGATAGATAGATATTAGCAGCAATAAAAATGTTGGCGGCATTAAATAACCATTGATGTGGATATGCCTTAAAACAAAACAAACCAAACCAATATATACTGAGATAGATAGATAGATAGATAGATAGATAGATAGATAGATAGATAGATAGATAGATAGATAGATAGATAGATAAATGGGAAGAAAGGAAGGAAGGAGCAAGCATAGATAGATAGATAGATAGATAGATAGATAGATAGATAGATAGATAGATAGATATCAATGGGCTGAGCTAGTACACACATACACGTAGACACGCGCGTATATTTACACACAGATAAACAGATAGAAAGGATTAACAGATGTTTTAGCTGACACACACGCACGTGCGTACATACGCAGATAGATAGATAGATAGATAGATAGATAGATAGATAGATAGATAGATATGACCAGACTTAGATAGATTGATATATAGATATGCATATGTATATATAGAAAGATAGATAGAATGAACAGAAGTTTTAGCTGACACACACGCGCGTAAGTGCACACGCACACAGGATAGATAGATAGATAGATAGATAGATAGATAGATAGATAGATAGATAGATAATGACCTGAGATAGATAGATAGATAGATAGATAGATAGATAGATAGATAGATAGATATACATTTCTATATGTAGACAGATAAATAAGAAAAGATGAACAGATGTTTTAGCTGACACACGCGCGTGCGTACGTTCGCGCGCACACACACACAGATAGATAGATAGATAGATAGATAGATAGATAGATAGATATTTGTATATGTAGATAGATAAATAAGAAAAGATGAACAGATGTTTTAGTTGACACACACGCGCGTGCACATAGATAGATAGATAGATAGATAGATAGATAGATAGATAGATAGATAGATAATGGCCAGACTGAGATAGATAGATAGATAGATAGATAGATAGATAGATAGATAGATAGATAGATGTATATATAGATAGATAAATAAGATGACCAGATGTTTTAGCTGACACACACGCGCGCGCGTACGTTCCCGATAGATAGATAGATAGATAGATAGATAATGACTACCAACTGGCTAGAAAAGAACAAATAGACCAGGAAAGAGATTCATTGTACACCTGGGGAAGAGGCTATTTTGAAACGTGCAGAAATATTGCCAACGCTACCATATGTTCCGCGTAGTTTGCCTTGGATAACAGGGAAACAGATGACGCGTAGAGGGAGTCCTTAAGAAAGAAGGACAGAGAGCGTAGTAGTAGCAATAAGGGTGTGAAAGGCAAGTGGGCGGGAAAGTATGAAAGGGAAGACGCAGATCGCTTTCACAGGCGAATGAATGGCGGGAAAAGAGGAGAGCATTTATTAATGAAATGATGCAAGACGCAGATGCCAAAAATGGCGAAGGCTGAAATGACTGGAATAACAATTAGGATAGAGATAATTATTTTTAATGATGACAAGAATAATTAATATCGGGAAGCAAATATTGATTGGAAAACGAATGTAAATCGTTTAATTTATTGTTCGAAAAATATACGAAAGAATTTCTTTTTCTACGGGGGTTAACTATCAGGATTATAATTGCTGGAGGATTTGGATGACTTAATGCCACTTAAACTCTTTTTGAAAGCTTATGGGTGTAAAATCTCAGTGAGTATGATGAAGAAGAAGAACTGAAGAAGAAGAAGAACTGAAGAAGAAGAAGAAGAAGAAGAAGAAGAAGAAAGAACTGAAGAAGAAGAAGAAGAAAGAAAGGAAGGAAGAAAGAAAGAAAGAATTGAAGAAGAACTGAAGAAGAAAAAGACAGAACTGAAGAAGAAGAAGAAAGAAAAAAAGAAAGAAAGAAAAAAGAACTGAAGAAGAAGAAGAAGAACTGAAGAAGAAGAAGAAGAAAGAAAGGAAGGAAGAAAGAAAGAAAGAACTGAAGAAGAAAAAAAGAACGAAAAAAAACTGAAGAAGAAAAGAAGAACTGAAGAAGAAGAATAAAGAAAGAAAGATAGAAAGAAAGAAAGAACTGGAGAAGAAGAAGAAGAAGAAGAAGAAGAAGAAAAAGGAAGAAAGAAAGAACTGAAGAAGAACTGAAGAAGAAAAAGAAAGAACTGAAAAAGAAGAAAGAACTGAAGAAGAAGAAGAAAGAAAGAAAAAGAAGGAAGAAGAAAAGGAGGAAAGAAGACGAAAATGAATAAAAGAAAGAAAGAAGAAATTGAAGAAACGAAAGAAGAGAAAAAGGGAAAAGGAAAGAAGAAAAATAGCAGAAAAAGATGAAGAAAAAGAAAGAAAAACGAAGAAAAATAGAAGAAAATAACAAAAAAAAATAAAGGTAAGAAAACACAATACGTAAAAAAAAATGTTTAAAAGAGAGAACAACAAAGAAAAAGGCAACCAACAAGAAGAAGGAAAAGAAGACGAAAGAAAAGCAAGCATAAGAAACTGAATCTGAAAGTGCGTGGGCGGGGAAGACACGGTCTGATTTTTTTTTTTTTAATTTGTTTATTTTTTTGTATATTTACAGGAAACAGGAGAGTGAATTTGGATTCACGAGATCTGCTGCCAGAATTGGAATTGGTCAACAACTGACGTTTTCAAAATTCTTTTTCCTTACTTTCGACACACCTTCCAAAAACTGTGATGGCGTTAATGTAATCGGAAATTGTTACAAAAATAAATAAATAAATAATGATGATAAAATTGCGAAGATTACACAAAGCGCATGTGTAAGACAGGTGAAGACATCGTAACCCGATCACGTAACATAACCCACCCACTTTAGCAATAAGAAGCAGCGATATTGATGTTTCGATGTGTTGCCGGTAACCGTTGCTTGGAGCCTCCTGTTCATTTTCCCTTTTTTTTATATCCTTATTTTTTATATTATAAAAAATTTTTCCACACTTCCAGCGGAAGTTTCCGTAACTGACTTGCGCTTTTTATCTAAGCATAGTCTATCTATCTATCTATCTATCTATCTATCTATTTGTAACAGCAAAATTTTCTCAAGTCGTGTAACAGCAAAATTGTCCAATTGTTAGATTAAGCTTTCAACCGTTGTAACTTAGAAATGATTCAAGATATCTTACTGGAATTCTCCGAGGTTTTTATAACACTATTGGACTCACTTGTGAGCAATAAGAATGTATAATTACTCTCCAAGCTTTACACAAGAATTGTGATGGAATCGATCATAAACGAAAATGACATGTTAGTCATTAATTAATCGTAGCTAAGGATTACAAGCTCATGATGGGCTGAAATAAAGTTCATATATATATATATATATATATATATATATAAATATATATATATTCCAGGATCATTTTCCAACTTATTCAAGATGATCTTCGCCCTCTCTAACATTCTAACTTTCTGTCTTGGAGTAAGAAGATGCCTCACATGTTTCATGTACGATTTCATTTTCAATTTTTTTTTTTACTGGTTTTTGGACTGTCATAGCTGAAACTCGTCTTTCACGTGCCAAACGTCTTATGGATTGAGCTGTATCTCCTATATTGATCTCTTTAGCGCTAACTTGAAATGATGATCCCTCTTCTTGTTGTGACCTACGGATCCAGTTTTCCTCTCTACTGTTCCATCTTGTTTAAAATTATTCATCCTTCTCTTGCTGGTCGTTGAGTTTGAAGGTGGAAGCCAGAGTACGAATGTTGGTACCATTACCGAAGGCCTCAATGATCTTTTTCCTCACCGCATTGCTCAGTTGAGAAGACAGTGGGTTTGATAGAAATCGATTTTAGCCTGTTCACTTTCTAGCTGAATACCGCAAAGGGGTTTTTCCGTGATTCTTACGACAAAATGGGGTCAAGATAGATAAACGTCTTATCTGAAAATCCGGAGAAAAGAATTCCAATTAGTTTTTTTTTCTTTTTTAGATATTAAACATTTTTTGATATGGACAATTATGCTGTTACACGATTTGAACAATTTTGCTATTACACCCGATATGTGTATGTATGTAGCAGTGGTAATTTTGAAAACTGTTTTTGTAGCAAAAGTTGCTTTGCGGTAGAGCGTTCCATATCGAAGGTATTAATAAAATTTGTAATAAAACCATTTTTCCCACTTAACTAATGTTAAAGTTTAAAGTTTCGTCATTGTTTGACTAATTATATATATATATATATATATATATATATATATATATATATATATATACGAAATTATACTCATCTGGAAAAACGTGTTTTGGCTTGTAAATGTACACACCAATACCCAAGGAAAAATAAGGGATAAAAAAGAAAGAATATGTAATTAAAGCGAAAACAATCGTCCAGAATCCAAGCTAAGTAAAGTGCTCAATACACTAAGTAGAGCAAATCTAACTATGAGCCTAAAAAGCCAGGCGGATCATCAGGGTACGCGTACCCTGACGATCCGCGTAGGTGAAACCTAGGTAGGTTTGCCTGGCTTTTTAGGTTCATAGTTATATATATATATATATATATATATATAAATAAAAAGAACCGCTACAAGAATAATTGAATCCCTAGAACATGAAAGGTAAGCAGAAATGGACAAAAAATTACGAACATCACACAAACCATGGATCATAATGAAGAAACTGAGATACACACCAATCATTGTGAATATAATACTGAAAGATTAGAAGAGTTGGAAAGGCGGGATCTTAGTTGTTCACAGGCCTGCAATAAAACGAATCCAAAATACATTGAACCGAATTATTTTACAGAAAATAAGAATAGTATGTAAGAAGCCAAAGAAGAAATCATGAAACACAAAATATTGAAATGGAGGAACGAGAATAACTCCCCAAATTACAACTAAAAAAGCATAACCTCAAAACTATTAAACTCTACAATGCAGCAGTCAAATTAATTCTGGATGAAGTAGACACATATATATATAAGTATCAACGAAGCGATATAAGCATCAGTCATAACAGCAATTAAAACATTAAAGTTAAAAAAGATAGTCTCACAGACATGACGATCCACCTAGGAAAAGGAAAATAGAGAAAGAAATTGAACAATTTAGAAGTGAATTATCAGTTATCGATGAACTGGCAAGAGGAACAAATGTAAGGACTGGAAAAGTCAGAAGAGCCAAAAGAAAAGACAAAATTAGGCTCAAAGAATCAGACGCTATGAAAAATGATCAAGATTCTACAGACAGAACCAGGCCTTTCAAGCCGATGTGAGGAAATTTTACGGAGAAATAGGCAAACAAAATTCATGTGACAATCCCCACAACAATGGAAGAGGTCATACAGTTCTAAGAAAAATACCGGATTGCTCTAAAGAACATGACAAAGAAGCAGATTGGATTACGCAAGAGGTAAGACGGATGAAAAAATAAACCAGAATAAACATGGGGGGGAATCACAAAAGAGGATGTTGAATGTTCACTAAAAAAAGGGCACAGATGGAAATCTCCAAGAATCGATAAAATTCCTAACTTTTGGCTCTGTTATCTAAACTGTTGTAGAGTGGTTTCACAGTGGAGGCTTGTATTTGTAATAAGTCGGTCCTAAAATAGGTTCGACGTACAAAACGTTATGAACTTGATATAATAGGCAATGACGCAGTAATCTAGTTGTGGTGGCTGATACTTTAATATCCGACTAACTGTCGTCCGGCATCGACTGACTGACCAACTCACTGAGCGACTACTACTACTACTACTACTACTACTACTTATTATTATTATTATTGTAGGTGGAAGAGTCTATTAACTATAGAATAGGTGTGTTGCACTGTAACATAAACACAGCACACAAAAAACTAGACAAGGAACTTCAAAAACTGGTCACTGATCCTACTAAAATTCCAGCATGGGTAACCAAAGAAATTACGTTCCTTCTACCCAAGAATGGTGACACAAATGTCCAAAACAACTATAGACCAATTACATGACTTCCAACTACTTACAAACTGTTGACATCTATTCTGACAAAATAGACATATTCCTTCTTAGAAAAAAAATGACATACTACCTCGTGAAAAAAAAAATGAAAATGTGGCTCTTACGGATGTAAAGACCAATTACGGAATATGACTATAAGATATCTCAAAAGAAAATTACCCATCTATTCTACATCAATTACTTAAAGCTGCATACTAGGAATGACAGTGAGCTGCAATGTCTCCTGAAAACAGTAAGATATTTCAGTGATGACAATGGAATGGAATTTGGTTTGATAAATGTGCTAAAGAAATGGTCAATGATACTACTAAAAGGAATTAACTTCCTTCTATCCAAGAATAGTGACACAACTGTCCCAAAAAACGACAATTACATGTCTTCCAACTAATAAACTGTTTACATCTATTCTGACAAAACAGACATATTGAATATTAGAAAAAAAAGGCATATTGCCTCTTGAACAA